TTCCAAATTTGTAAGAGCAGAGGATTATTAGCAAATGTGTTTATTGAGCATAGTTTTGTTCTTTGTATTCTCCCCAGGTAACTGCATGATCTTCAAATCTTTACTCAGTTGTCATTTTCTTACTGAGGCTACCCTGTAAGGAGGCTGCTTTAAAATTATAAGTCTCCCAGGTCCCACACTCTCAATCCCCCACTGTGCCCCCTTTTCATAGCTCGTTATCCTCCCACACAGTTTCTAGTTCACAGTGTCTCTTTTCTGTCTTCTGCCTGCAAACATTTGGCAACCAAGAGGCTTCATGTCTCTTATTGTTATAAAAATGAGTGCCTGACACCCAATGGGAACTCAGAAAATTCTTGTTTAGTCAGTGAAGGTGGGGCATTAATATAATCACATCTTTCCTCCATAAATTTACAACCCAGTTTTTATTGTAAACCTAATAATATGGTTTGGATCTGAAGTGTCCCTACCGCCTATATGCTACAGGATTTTGGTTGCCAGCCTGTGGAGATACTGGGAGGTCCTGGAAACTTTAGGAGGTGGGGCCTGAGGACTTTCGGAACTTAGGTCATTGAGGGTGTGGCCTGCGAGGGGATATTGGGATCCCCAGTCTTTGCCTATCTTTCTCTGCTTCCTGACTGCTATTAGGTGAGCAGCTTGTTCCACTACACACTCCCTGCCATGATATTCTCCTTACCACAATGAAACTAGAATTTTGAGATGAACTGAATTCTCTGCTTCTGCTGGTGGGTGGGGTCTGTGTAAGGCTGCAGGCCTCTGTAGCCAAGAAACGTTACAGCTCTTATTGGTGGGCTATGCCTGCAATGTTGCAGCAGACCACAGCAGCTCACTAGTCAATTTCTTCTTCTTTCTAGGTTCTTGTCTCATGAATTTGAAGAATGAAATCCATAGACCAGGATGAGTGGATATAAGACTGTTGAAGAACAGAAACAGGAGCAGAACTCTTGCAGTGCAGAAGGGTACCTGATAGCAGGTTTTCTCCCTCCAAGTGTGCTAGTCTAGGGGTTTATATAGCACGTAATTCACTGCTATTGGTCCAAATTTATGCTGATTAGGGCTTGGAAGCTCACTAATGCTATTAGTCAATTTTTAAGTCCCAATTTTCATTCAAGTCTGCCTCACCTCCATTTTCTCATGGCAGATCAGGAAGTGGGAGGTTGAGTCATCGGATGGAGCTGCAGTGCTGCCTGGAGCAGGTTTCTGCACAGGCATCCTGTATAGTGCCAGGCCTGGCTGCTAAAGGATGACAGGTTGGTGCTCCTCAGCTCGCCTCAGTGCTGGCTGGCTAGGCAGGTCCACTTGGCCACAGGCTGTGCTTGCCTCTCTCACTCCAAGCCGCCTGGATGCCACTCTGCTGCTTCGCTGCTGCCCTGTTCTGCTGCTGCTCCTTGGCAGGGACCACCAGTAGGCTGGCTACACAGCTTGGCAGCCAGGAAGCCATGTCAACAAGGCCCAGAGTGATGGAGCCAAGCCACCATGGCCGGAAACCTCTGAAACTGTGAGCCAAAATTAACCTTTCTTCCTTTTAAGTTGTTTATCTCAGGTATTTTGTTAGAGTGACAGAAAGTTAAACTAACACACCTAGTGAGAAATGAAAAATAGCAAAAAAAAAATGTTATGTTTACTATGTTCAAGAAAAGAGTTATATGTCCTTTCACCTAGCAAGGGCTTAAAAAAGAATTTTCGTTCTTTTATTTATTTATTTTTTTGTACTATATCATTGAGGGAAATATTCTTCTATAATCCTTATGTAAAGGGGAAAAGGAAACAGAAAATAAGGATAACTTTTAAGGGAGTGTTGGTTAAAAAAAAAAAAGGAGGGTGCTGGTTCTCCAGGTTGCTTCCCATTTAGAAGGAGGTCCTTCATTCTTTCCCCAGCTCAAACTTCACTGAAAAGAATAGGGGAAGTCACAACCACCAGATCACTCACCACAAAACTCACCACCTACCTGCCTCTGTACCCGCAGGCTCTGCCTTTCTTTCTGTTACAATAAAATATTGTTTATTGGCCTATCAAAGTCCAGCAACCATTTGCGGTTTGGATCCCATTTCCTGCTCAAAGACAAGTGATTCTGAAAATAGCCTTCTCTTCTTTACCTCACAATAAATTCTAGTTTTCTACTTCATCACTTCCATCAACATACAAATATACTATAATATTGCCTCTCATGAAAAAATAAAACTCTCCTTGGCTTCTCATTTCATTCTCATTTCTTTGCTCCCTAACACAGTAAAACCTCACTCTCCTACCTCTCAATTTTCTTCTCAGCCTACTCCAACTGAGCTTTTATTTTTAACCCTCCAATAAGACTTGCTAAATATAATGATCCTCATGTAAACCTTTCCTACCCCTGCCTCCTCTAACACCTCTCTAGGCTCAACGACAGCTACCTTCAGTTGGTTTCCCTTCCATCTCAATGGGCCCGCTCTGCCTGGCTGCTCAGGGTAGGCCTGCTAGAATGGATACACACGTAAAGCTGGAAAGCCCACCTGCATGTGTTCTGCTAAGTCCCTGAAGGACATTCCTTTACCACAATGAGAAAGAGTGCACTGGTGAGAGGGGCCAATGTGGTCCATATGTTCCAGAGGCCAGACTAGATGCTGTTAAGAACTGGGTATGGAGGCCATCTGAAAAAAAGTAGGTACAAGGGTCCCAGGAGGAGAAGAGGAAATGTATTTCTAGGGAATGGTAGGGCTATGTGTCACCCTCAAAAGGGTAGTGGTCTCCATTTCTTATAATTCCATGTCAAGTGGTTCTTTTCCTATTCCATACTATTTCCCGCATACTATACTTTAGGGGAGAAAGTGCTAAGTGCCATTAGAAAGTTAAGACAAAAAATAAAAGAGAGATGTTATTTTCAGATTTTTTTTTTTTTTTAGTGCTACCTCCTTAGTACTTTTTATTGTTAATTTTGAGACAGTGTCTAAGCTGCTGAGGGTCTTGCTAAATTGCCAAGATGGATTCAAACTTGTAATCCTCCTGCCTCAGTCTCCCAAATCCATAGTATTTCAGGCCAATGCCATTATGTCCAGCTCAGATAATATTTAAACTAAGCCTTAAAGGGTATAAATAGTTTTAAAATGAAGAACTGGGTGATGGAGGTGGAGAAGGACATTTAATAGGCAGGAAGGAAACAAGGAAAAAGGAAGCAAGTTGGGAAAAGGCACACAAGTCATTAGGAGCCAGAGCATGGAAGGCAATGAATGAATGATGGACTACACAGCTCGGTGTGCATGATAATTTTTCCATGAATTATTATTCAGCCTTTAAGATAAAAGTTATGAAGACAGATGTAACTCAGTTATAGGACAATGGTTATCTTGAAGCACACTGAGCTCAGATAGCCTATTAAGACAATGTGTCTGAGGGCTTTGTAAACTCTTTCAGTATAATGGGGAGGGAAAAGAGAAGATCCATGATCTCTGGAAGAATAGAGGTTTGCAAGAGGAATTTTTTTTAAAAAAAGGTATTATGGTTTATTATGTCCCCCCAAAGCTCATGTATTTAAAGCATGATCCCCCATGCAGGAAGGTTCAGAGGTAGGATGTTTGGGAAGTGACTGGATCACAAGGGCTCTGAGAAATGGGACCTAATTAGAGGAAGCAGGTCACAGGGGCCTACTCTGGGGGTTTGTCTTCTTCTTGGCCCCTTTCTCCCTCTGTGCTTCCTGGCTGCATGAGCTAACAGCGTTCCTCCACCGTGGCCTTCGGCGGGCATGATGTCTGTCTGTCCTGAGGCCCAGAGCAATGGAGTTGGCCAACCACAGACTAAATCTCTGGAACTGTAAGCCAAAATAAATCTTTCCTCAAGTTGTTTTTGTCAGGTATTTGGTCACAGTGATGGAAAGCTGACTAACGTATAAGATTTATAAAGTAAAGGTGCGAGAGGGTAAAACTATTTCACGGAGCAAGTCATTATGGACATAGAGGTGATGAGTCAGAATCAAGGGGACAAGAGACTAGACAGAAGGGCCAGAAAGCTGAGAAGCACACTGGAACCTCAAAGGGAAAAGAAATCATGCCCTCTTGTAATCCACAGTGAGAGCCAATGCTTTGCTCTGTGAAGGCAGAAGCAGCATCCATTTCCAATCTCCCCTCTCCTGTGAGCCTCCTTACTACAAGAATGGAGTGAAGCTTTCAGCCATGGGCTCCTTCAACTTACCACAGCTCACAGTTACCCTGAACATGCCCATCTTGAGTTCCTATCTTCCAACCTCAGAGATGTCCCTGTCCTTAGGCTTTGCTGTAGAACCTGATCCCTTTTCTTCTCTGAGACCTTAATTCATCCATCCCTGCTCTCTCCTTTACCTCAGTCTCATCCCCCACCATTGGAACCTTCTTAGAAAATATCTGCTTATTTAATATCTCCATATGAATGTTTGAAGCAACCTCGAACTCTTCAGACCTCTCCCTGCAAACCCGCTATCCCTTGTCTTTACCCTTTAAAGTGGCTACCATCCACCCAGAACTCTGATAGACTTCCTGGATCCTGATCTCCTTATTTCCATAGCTAACCAATCGCTAAATCCTTTTCATTTTACCTCTGAAATCACATTGTACCCGTATCTCCCACTTTATGTCCATGGCAGTCTTAATTCTTGGCTCAGTTTGTGCCTTGCCTGGATCACTATATCAGCAGCCTCACGGATGCTCCTGATCCCATATCTCCACCATCAACCTACCCCTTCATGTCATGTCACTGTGTTGGGGTGATCTTTTAAAAATGCATACCTGAGCATATCACTTCTCCACTTAAAATCTCTCAGTGCTTCTCATCCAGATCAAGTTTAGTTTCTTAGCTTGACATTTAATGATCTTCATGATCCTATCCTCATCTCTTGCCCTATGAAGAACTTGGGTTTTAGACATGGTTCTAGAACAGTTCACTTATCTCCCCAATAGGTTAGATACTACTTGTAAAGTTCACATCATTTTTTGTCGTGTCCTTGGCAGCTGACATAGAGCCTGTGACATAGTTTTTGAAAGTCATTAAGCGTTTATTGAAAGACTGACGTAGACTTTGCATCCTTAAGCCGTGCAAGGGAGGCCCGTTCATTTTGAAATAACCTGTAGGTAAGAGAACATAGATGTTTCATAATACACATTAAATCAGTACTTGTTCACAGAGCTCTATTTGTAGACAATCTGGGTTACTGCTTTCTTTCCACCTATTTCATCCCACTTGTGTGCAGATTCCAGACTTAGCTATCCCCCTCCCCACCACAATACTGGGATATTCTACCACTGAGCAACATCCCAGCTGCTGAACTGTTTTATTTTATTTTTCTGTGGGTATTGGGGATTTATCCCAGAAGCACTTTATCACTCAGCTACATCCCCAGCCCTTTTAACTGTTTAATTTGAGACAGAGTATTGCTAAGTTGCTTAGGGCCTCGCTAAATTGTGAAGGCTGCCTCGAACTTGCAATTCTCCTACCTCAGCCTCCCAAGTTGCTGAAATTAGACGTGTATGCCACTGTGCCCAACTAGACTTAATTATCTTTATCTTAATAGTTGCCTTTCTCCTATCATATTTTAGTTTTCCCTACAGGATCCCATGAAACCGATGAATAATAAGAAATGTCTCTTTTCACAGCTTGAATCACTTCAAAGTTTTCAATGTTTAATTTTCTGAAATCAAACAGTTACTACTACATATTGCTCAATTCATTGTATATTTCTCATGGTTTAATTTGTTACTAGTTATGTTCCAACTTTTTATATGCTTTTTTTAAAAAGTCAAATTTAATCAGTTTATGGTTCAACCATTAGGACTCATATTTCATGGGCTGGGGATGTGGCTCAAGCGGTATCGCACTTCCCTGGCATGCGAGGGGCGTTGGGTTCGATCCTCAGCACCACATAAAAATAAAATAAAGATGTTGTGTCCACCGAAAACTAAAAAATAAGACACATATTTCCTTAAAATAAATTAATTCAATTGCTGAATATGCCATTCCTAGTTGACCCAGCACTGCCTGGGCCTCCCCTCCTCTTTCACCTCAGGGCCCAGAGCCCTCCAAACCCTGGGTCAGTTCCACCCACCATGCAGGGCCATGTGACTGCAGGGGTCTGGGTTCCCATGTGAGGCCCTAGCATGCCATCTCCCTACCCAAGTGTTCCAACTTTTTGAATTTGTCCAATTCATATAAGACCTATCTCATACAATTCCTTAACAAAAACAACAATAATAGCTTTTATTTATACAGTATTTCTCTCAGAATTGGTTTTATACTCTACATATATTTTCCTTTTGTACATAATTTAAGCATAACACTAACTTTTGTGAGATAAAATAATTTCTTCCTTTCCATTCAAGGTATATTTTGATTAATAGCAATAATTTCAGCCTGGTTCTGGGTTTTATCAAAAGGATAATAATGTGGTTCAAGCGGTAGCGTGCTCGCCTGGCATGCGTGCGGCCCGGGTTCGATCCTCAGCACCACATACAAACAAAGATGTTGTGTCCGCTGAGAGCTAAAAAATAAATATTAAAAATTCTCTCTCTCTCTCTCTCTCCTCTCTCACTCTCTCTTTAAAAAAAAAAAAGGATAATACATGTTTTTTTTGTTTTTTTTTTATTTCTGGTACATTTCACAAAATCAGTTGTCTCTGGCTCCTTTGTTGAAATTCAGAACCAATTCCTCAAAACTGTGTTAAGGTAGAAATTATAAAGGCTAGGCCTTAGGGACCAGTTTTCTTTTTATCTGAGACTTAATTCCAAATGATCTTAGAGCAGTGTCCTTTTAAATCAAGTTTGTGGTAGAAGAGCCTTCCAGCCAAGAGGGAGAGAAGTCTTTGGCACAATAAACAGCTGATGTGAAATCTGTTAGTAAATCTTTGTGCATCACTAAGCCCCTGATAACATGGAAGGGTATTCTGTGAGAATATTTGGCAAAAGAGCCACTGCATTCATCTGTGTTGAAGTAGAATGTGTTTGATTGGTCACAAGAAGAAATTAGAAGAAAAGTAATCACATTTTTTCGGAATGTAAAATTTCATTGTGTATACAGATTTTAATATATCATATGTATGATTAGCTGGAGTAGTGTACTTAGTAATAATTCTTCCTGGAGTAGCTGATGAAAATGACTAGTGCTTAATCTTGTTTAAAATAAATCATTTCTATTTCCTTTAAAAATATTTGGCATCTAAAAGTGAAAAGAAAAAATGTTTTATAAGCTTTGGGGAAAGGCATTTAGTGACAGGACTTCTGAACAGCAAATTCTTGGTTACCTAGGAGAGAGGGCTGTGAAGAAAGCCTACAGATGAACTCCACAAAAAGTACCCAGGCTATATTTTAATTAATACTTTTGGTTTTATTTCAATCCTTCTCCCACTGAGGAACACTATGAAAAACAAGGTGGGTGGAGTTTCATCTTTCTTGATTTGGTTGCCAGTGGCAGAGAATGTAGAAAAGGAACAGAAGCATTAGTCTGAATAACTGATGAAGTGACTTACAGCACAGTGCTGCAGAATTAATGGTATTTATTGGTGCCCTCATAATTCAACTATTAGAAAAGCTGTGTTGCAATGAGAGACGTGACCTATTGATCATTTCCCTCTTCCACAAAGCTATGTCACAAAGAGGTCACAGTATTCATGAAACATGCCCATGGCCTGGGGCAGGACAGGGGCAGCAGCGGAGTATTAGGCATGATTCTAGCAAGTGTAGCTTTGGTCTGGGTCCCAAATTTAATTCTCACACACTCCTAGTTAGGAACCTACTAAGTGACAGATGCTTGGGGAGTACCGAAACAAATATGAGACAATTCCTGCACTAAAAAAGTTCTAGTCAAGTCAACGGTCATGTAAGCAGAGAACAGTAATATTATGCTATAGGAGCTATTGTGCCAATAGGTATGGTGTGGGCACCTGGGAGGAAGCTAGCCAGTTCCATGTGATAGACAGAGAAGAAATGGCTTCTTAGAGAAGATGGAGCGTGAGCTGGCAGATGCTCATAAGGAGAGAACTGAAAAAAGCAGAAGAAAAGTAGCTGGAGAAGAACATACCAAGTGGGGAAAAGCAGCATGGTCAGTAACAGGAAGGCACAGAAATAACAGCATGTTTATAAAACTGCAGGTAGTTAGATATGGTGTATATAAATGATGATGAGGAGAAAGCAATGCATGGTAAAATTGGAGAGGAAGGTGAGAGCTAGGTTGCAGAGGACCTGAGATGTGCAGTTGGAAACCATCCAAGGGCTTTAGGTAGGGGAGGGTCTTGATCATATTTTGGGTTTTTTTTTTTTTTTGTATGGGGGATGGAACTCAGGGACACTCGACCACTAAGCCACACCCTCATCTCTATTTTGTATTTTATTTAGAGACAGGGTCTCACTGAGTTGCTTAGTGCCTCGCTTTTGCTGAGGCTGGCTTTGAACTTGATATCCCCCAGCCTCAGCCTCCTGAGTTGCTAGGATTAGATGTGCACCAACACACCCGGCCAAATGTAGTTTTTTTTAAAATGACTATCAAGATGACCTACCAAGGTCATGGACTTTGGATGATTTTCTAATCTTGTTCTGTAGGAAAGAAAAGAAGAGAATTTAAAAAATAGGGAAGGACAAAAATAATGACATTTTTTCACTATGTTCTCTATGTAGCATATTTTCTTACTCACTTGCAAGGAAAATATGCCATTTAGGACAGAACTATGAGACCCTAAAAGATTAAAATTTTTCAATATATAATATTGAATTGTCATAGATCATTCTTAATAAACTTGAATAGAAATATTAAATCAGAGTCTCAATTACATTTAACATTCCCATAGATTTATTTAGGAAAAGGTTCCTGCCATGATTTGCAAACCTAATGAATTTCTTTGAAAGTGATGAACTAGAGGCAAAAATTAGACATTGAGACTATTAAAGTACTCCTTTTCATATCTTGATTTCCCACCATTCTCAGTACAATTAGCAAGAGTAGCATCATAATTTTGAGATGATGCAGAGAAAGTCTAAAGCTCCTTTGCATGCTAAGTGTACTGAGGTCAATCAGTCAATAAGAGCCAATGGAAATGGTGATGGCTGAAGGCTGCCAAGATCTGAGGTTTTTTAAAACACATGGCCTGACAAGTTAGAAAAGGCTAGAGAGCTCTTTTGCCCCATGTCACCCCCTTGATTCAAGGCCAGTTTATACCCATGCATATGGGCCTTTAATCCATTGTGAAAATAGACCATAAGTAAACAAATATATTTTTTAAAAATTTTTTAAATAGATGAATGCAATACCTTTTTAAAAAAATTTATTTTTATGTGGTGCTGAGGATCAAACCCAGTGCCTCACATGCTAAGCAAGCACTCTACCACTGAGCTACAACCCCAGCACATAAACAAATACCTTGACTGGTAAAAAATGTGAGTTTATATGCAAATTTTATTATTTTAAAAGTTTTAGAAAAAATTCCATAGTTTCTCTCTACAATTCATAGAAGACCCATATTCTGTTTAAATTAGCATTTACTAAGCATTTGTGATTTAGCATCAGATCACATTCTTTCATATTAGGCTGGGAGTGTAATTCAGTGGTAGAGTACTTGTCTAGTATGCCCAAGGGCCAGGTTTGATTCCCAGCAATGCAGTGGGTAAAAAAAAAAAAAATCATACTTAACTTAGCACTTTGCAAACAGCTAGTCTAAATCTGCTCAGAGGTTTTGATTTTTAGAACAGTTGTATTTACACATGGTATGCTGAGCAAACATGTCTCAGGACATAATCAAAACACAACTTTAGTTATTATCCAAAAAACAAAAGAAAACAAGTGCTGGTCAGAGGAAAAGGGAACCCTTGCACACTGTTAGTGGAAAACAGTATGGAAAGTTCCTCAAAAAGTTAAAAGTGAACTACCATATGATCTAGCAATACCACCACTCAGTAAACATCCAGAGGAAATGCAATCAGTGTGTCGAAGAGACATTTGCACACCCAAGTTCACTGCAGTGCTATTCACAACAATCAAGAAAAGAAGCTGGGAGCAGTAGTCCACTCCTATAATCCCAGGATTCGGGAGGCTGAGGCAGGAGGACTGAGAGTTCAAAGCCAGTCTCAGTAACTTAGCAAGGCAGTTAGCAACTCAGTTAGACCATATCTCTAATTCAATACAAAAAAAAAGGGGGGTTAGGTAGGGATGTTTCTCAGTGGTTAAAGACCCCTGCTTCAATCCCTTGTACCAAAAAAGAAAAAAAGAAAGAAAACAATCTAAATGTCCCTCAACTGATGAATGGATAAAGAAAATGTGGTATACATACAACAGAATACCATTTTGCCAAATAAAAGAATAAAATCCTGTCATTTGTGACAACAGGGATGGAACTGGAGATCATTAGGTTACAAGTACTGCATGATCTCACTTACATGCGGAATCTAAAAAAGTTGATTTCATGGCAGTTGAAAGTAGAATGCGATTACCAGAGGCTAGGAGGAGTAAGTGGGAGAAGGCAACGGGAAAGGTTGATCAATGGATACTAAATTATAGTTGGACAGGAGTAAGTAGCTGTGGTGTGCTAGTATTACATAGTAGGGTGACTACACACAACAAAGTACTATGTATTTCAGAAAGCTAGAAAGAAGGATTTTGTTTAACACCAACTGTGATACTGCTAGATCATATAGGAGTTCACTATAAAGCAATGACAAATGTTTGAGGAGGTAGATAAGCTTACCCTGATTTAAAAATATTACATGACATGCACATGTATCAATACATCTCATAGTGCCCCATAAATATGTACAATTGTTAAGTTTTTATGAACCAGCTAAAAAATAAATTTAAATTTAAAAATTCTAATGCAACTTTAATTTTTGTCTCCTACTTCTACCCTAAGCTTTTTCACTCAGGGAAACTTGTCATTTATATGGAATGGATACACAGCAAGCCCAATGGGTTCTTCAAAATAATTTCCTTTGGAAACTCTGCACATGTGGAAAACCTACTCTGACTTTGGGAGTCTGCAATTGTTTTATTAGCACCCAAGGAACTGGGCCAGGATTAGTCCATTTTTAACATCTCACTATGTTCTTAATCAACCCCGAATGGGTTTCTGCATATAACTTATAGCATCAGATTCTGAAACAAGTCTAAAATAACAGATTATAGCTGAGTGCAGTGTTGCACGCCTGTAATTCCAGCCATTCCGAAAGCTGAGGCAACAGGATTGCAAACTGGAGGCCAGTCTTGGCAATATTTAGTGAGATCCTTTAACGAAATAAAAAGGACTGGGGGATATAGCTCAATGGTAAATCCCCTTGAAGTCTAAATAATAATAAAATAACAGATCATAAGATTTAATGTTAGTGTAAGAAAATATCTAGCCATAAAATATATAGCAAAATAAACAGGTTTTTTTTTTTTTTTTGTACAAGGGATTGAACTCAGGGGCACTCCTCAACCACTGAGCCACATCCCCAGCCCTATCTTGTATGTTATTTAGAGACAGGGTCTCACTGAGTTGCTTAGTACTTCGCTTTTGCTAAGGCTGGCTTTGAACTCAACATCCCCCAGCCTCAGCCTCTAGAGTTGCTGGGATTACAGGTGTATGCCACCACGCCTTGCTTTTAAGCAATTTTTTTTTGCAGGCAAAATGTTAGTACATTCCTAAGAGGCAAACATATATTCTTGAGAGCAGGAAATCTCTTTCCAATTCAGGTTCTATAAAAAAATATTTATCACATAAAGAGCTCAAAAAGCTAAACACCAAAAAATAAATAAATCAATAAGTTGTCCAAGGATCTGAATAGACACTTCTCAGAAGATAATATACAATCAATCAACAAATATATGAAAAAAATGTTCATCATTGCTAGCAATTAGAGAAATGCAAATCAAAACTACTCTAAGATTTCATCTCAGTCCAGTCAGAATGGCAGCTATTATGAAGACAAACAACAATAAGTGTTGGCGAGAATATGGGGGAAAAGGTACATTGAAACACTGCAGGTGGGACTGCAAATTGGTGCAGCCAATATGGAAAGCAGTATGAAGATTTCTTGGAAAATTGGGAATGGAACCACCATTTGACCCAACTATCCCACTCCTTGGTCTATAGCTAAAGGACTTAAAAACAGAATATTTTACAGGGACACAGCCACATCAATGTTTATAGCAGCACAATTCACAATAGCTAAACTGTGGAACCAATATAGATGCCCTTCAATAGATGAGT